CATTAAAGATGATAAATACAGAATTCATGCCATTTTCAGAACTAAATTTTGAATTATTTTGGGGTAAAGATAAAAAGATGTGCCTCTCCAAGTCAACAGAGTCTTCAGTGAAATCATAGATAAATAACTACTTTAATAATAACTTAAAAATTCATTTAATGTGGATGTTAGTTGATTTAAATATTTATTTACAGAATGATTATTGATAAAAGTAGGTAATGACAATGTAAAATATGTTCAACCCAGAACTTAAACCTAAAAGAATTTTGTCAACTATACCTCTTATTTACACAGCATAGATGTTTAAATATATCCAAAGGCTGCAGGAAAGTATCGTTTGTCTTTATTTAGAAAATATGGATGTTGTGCTCGTTCCTGTTGGAACCCTGAGGTTCTGGTGCCTTTCGGCCACCCCTCAATGTGCATTGGTTATTGACTGGCCACCCCTATTAGGATTTACTGGCTACGCCTCTGCATCCAATTAGTCCCAGTTTAGGCTGAGTCCATAGATATGTCTAGGAGAGAAACAGGACGAAACACTGGAAAACAGGCCCAACATTTTTTATCACCCTAGACAAAAGCATAGAGCTGGATAATTTTATCTACATTTTAAATGAGTACATTTCATAATTATTGGCATCGTCAATAAAGACAAGATAAAGCCTTGAAATATTTTTTATTTACGTGGCGTTATCTGATTGTACTTTTCATACTTTTGCATGGCTGTGAAAAAGTACTTTCTTACTGGTTATCTTTGAGCAAAAAGGCATTTCTCTTTATGGGCCAGCAGTGTGAGATTTAAGAGCGGAGCAGTGTTGTCATGTTGGCAGAAGGATAAATATCTACAGCAGCTGTGTTGTTTAGTGTCCCACAAGTGGTTTTACAGAAAGATGGATTTAATTTCAACATTATTCTCCCCAGTGACTACACTGCTCTAAATATTTCAGTGTTAGATCATGCCACTGTGATAATCTTCTTATCTTTACACAGATTAAAGTGTGGCGAACACTTCAAGTCTGGTTTCATAAGCCTCTTCTGTTTCTATCTTTATCGAGAAAATCTGGTGACTGATTAGTTCATACTTTAAAATAAAATCTGTTTGTTGATGTGATCTTGCAGATCTTTAGCTGTTTCTGTGGAAAAATGCACACAAACAGCAATTTCATGGAAACTAAACACCAAGCCTTTTTAATGCTACACATGAAAAAGTAAATCCTTTAGTTTAATCTAACTAACCTACCTGTTAAAAGAGAATCTTAAAAATATCTTAATTTTGCTGAAAGTTACTTGACATGTTTTGTTTTTTAAATTGGAACATGATTATTTACAGATCGGTCAAGTAACAGAGTACAAATACTTCATTGCCTGACATTGGTAGAAATGTTGGCTATCTATTTTACTGGAGTCATTATTTCTAGACAGTTTTTTTTTTACTTCTACTCCTTATGTTTAAAATAGACTTGTTTTGTTTAATTTCAGCCGGAGGTTTCAAATACATTGAATGTTAGCCTCCCCTCTATGGGGCGCCGTTTGTAAAGTTAAGCGGTCAAAATCAGGAGCAATATTTATGGTAATTTAGCACTTTTTAAGAGAAAAATAAGGAGTTTATTATTTTCCAAGTCATTTTTTGCACTATGTCATTAATTTATTCATTTGTAAAAAATATTACTTTGTTTAATATTTAGTTTTAGGCTAAATATTTAGTTTGCAAATTAAATATTTTGTTTGCTATATAAACATTTAGCTCTAAACTAAATATTTAGTTTGCAAATTAAATATTTAGTTTGTTAAATAAATATTTAGCTCTAAACCAAATATTTAGTTTGCAAATTAAATATTTAGTTTGTTAGCTAAATGTTTAGCTCTATGTTAAATATTTAGTTGGAAAATTAAATATTTAGTTAGTTAAATAAATATTTTGCTCTAAAATAAATATTTAGTTTGCAAATTAAATATTTAGTTTGTTAGCTTAATGTTTAGCTCTATGTTAAATATTTAGTTTGCAAATTAAATATTTAGTTTGTTATATAAACATTTAGCTCTAAACTAAATTTTTAGTTTGAAAATTAAATATTTAGTTTGTTAAATAAATATTTTGCTCTAAACTAAATATTTAGTTTGCAAATTAAATATTTAGTTTGTTAGCTTAATGTTTAGCTCTATGTTAAATAATTAGTTTGCAAATTAAATATTTTGTTTGCTATATAAACATTTAGCTCTAAACTAAATATTTAGTTTGCAAATTAAATATTTAGTTTGTTATATAAACATTTAGCTCTAAACTAAATATTTAGTTTGCAAATTAAATATTTAGTTTGTTAGCTAAATGTTTGGCTCTATGTTAAATATTTAGTTTGAAAATTAAATATTTAGTTTGTTAAATAAATGTTTTGCTCTAAACTAAATATTTAGTTTGCAAATTAAATATTTTGTTTGTTAGCTAAATGTTTAGCTCTATGTTAAATATTTAGTTGGAAAATTAAATATTTAGTTTGTTAAATAAATATTTTGCTCTAAACTAAATATTTAGTTTGCAAATTAAATATTTAGTTTGTTATATAAACATTTAGCTCTAAACTAAATATTTAGTTTGCAAATTAGATATTTAGTTTGTTAGGTAAATGTTTTGCTCTATGTTAAATATTTACTTTGAAAATTAAATATTTAGTATGTTAAATAAATGTTTAGCTCCAAATTACATATTTAATTAACAAACGAATATGCTAATTAACTCGACGATAAATATAAGTAAACTACTAAAGTAAATATTTATTTAAAAACCTAAATATTTGATTCGCAAACTAAATATTTATTTAACAAAGTAAGATTTTTATAAATGAATGAATAATATAGAGGAAAAATGACTTGGAAAATAATAACTCCCTTATTTTTCTATTCAAACGGGCTAAATAACCATAAATATTGCTCCTAATTTTTGACAGTGTAACTTTACAAACGGCGCCCCATACCTCTGGTAATAGGTAAAGATAATGCTTTCATATGACAGCTCAGTTTGCATTAACGCACATTTTCGTCTTTTTGCCGACACTATTCACTCTCAGAACCAGACCATGTAAAACCTAATTTTAAATAAAAAGCATCATATTTCCTACGTTTTTTAGCAGACTCTCGCACGCGTTCTTAATAGGCATTCCCTCTCAGGAGTGAGTACAGGGTTGTGTATATGCATTTTGTTTTTTAAAGTGGAGTGGGCAGGTCCTCCAGTATACCTTTAAATCTGGCAATGTTACCATTAGTTATAAAATTAAGAAAATTAAGAATAAGGAAGTTATCATCCAGAATTGTACAAAAAAGTTCCTTTATTAAGCTAGTTCAGTAAAGCTTCTGTTCTTAACATTTGTCCTGCATTACTTTTATACTTTTAAGTAGTTTTAAAAATGATAGTTTTACACTTTTACGTAAAAAATGTATTCTCTAGCTTCTACAAAAGTACTTTTAAACTGTAGGATTCATACATCTACTTGAGTAATAAGCATGAATACTTTTGATACCTCTGATTGGCTCAAAATCTTTACCGAAGTTTTCCCTCGTTTTGCTGTTTAGAGTTGAAGTTGTTCCAGGTTTCTGATTCAGAAAATGGCTAAAGGGAGACTTAGCTTGTGCATCTTTAATCTGCTAAATCATACTTAAACCTGGACTAGATTACTCTAGACTAATAGCAAAGTATTTAAAACAGAGTTGGGGATTTGTGAACGCTTTATCTGTTGTGAAAAGTTTAATAAAGGATGATTTCAGTTCTTTTTCCGTATCTAGACTACCTTAACTGACCTAGCTCAAAAGCTACAGTTCAAACCTGGACTGGATTATTCTAAAGTATTAGCAGAATCTTTAAAACACAGTTTGGGTTTAGTGAAAACTGAGTTTTGGAAGTAAGGAACAATCGGGTGACAATCTTGATGTGATCCCTGAGGGGAATGGAGGGCCAAAATTTATCATGAAATAAATTAATGTGACCGTATAACGATATTTACCAAACTGAACGATTGTTTTTCGCTACTTAAAAAAAACACTAGATATAAATAGGAAAAATTTTCTATTTTTTTTCCCATTTATAACATGGATGCATAAACAATTTTATTTCAGTGTTAAATTCTGTTTAAAGTAACAGATTATAATTAAAAATGTCTGTGGACTTTTACTGGTTGATGATGTTTTTTATTCAGACCTCGCTGATTTTTAATGGTTACCCCTGATGCAAAAAATCCTGCATGGTGGTTTGGAGTATAAATATTAAAGTCACAGTAAAGTCAGATTAATTTCAGCTAATTACAGCTGCTCTTCCTCTGCCTGCAGGTCAGTTCCAGCACTCTGACATGACCCTAACCGTGACGAACGATCATCGCCACAAAGAGGCTCACCCTCACAACAAAGAGGAGATTCTAGCCAGGGGGGTCCTGAAGTGGGGAGCGCAGCAGATGGGGGTGACTTTACAAGAGAAGACGGTGAAAGACTCCCTGCAGAAGCGCCACCCAGGGAAATGCTGGGTGGTTCCCAAGTCGGAGATCGAGGCGCTGCTGGGTCACCCCTACGAGAGCTACTTGGTGAACGCCGCGTAACCCCGAGCGAGACGACCACACCTGTTCTTTGTCCAGTAATCGAAAAGCATGAGGCCAGCTGAGAGTCTGCTGGGTAGAAACAGACGTTACGGTCAGACAGAGAGGCGGTTGTGAAACAGGAACGGGTGGTTTGGAGAGAAAAAGGAAGAAGTTAGATGAATCAAAGGGAAAATGTGCAGTCGTACTCAAACAGAGAACTGAACAGCCTCTTTATTACTCTCCGTCTCTGACTGGATCTGGATCGGTCACGCATGGAGCCTCCGTGTGCTTTCTGGTTGCATGGCAACAACAGATCACCCATTTATGCTGCCTTATGAAATCCGACGTATTTATTGGACTAATATTTATCATTCTTTTCTGTATTAAACCATGAAAAATGATTAAAAGCATCATTCTAGGATATAAGAAAGAGAGAAGCAGTGGTTCCAGGTTTGCCATGTGCTTTTTTTATTTTTCTATCATTTCATTTCATAGTTTAGTTTGTTTTATTTGTTACACAAGACATTAGGTATTGTTCACATACTAGTGATCAAACAAGGACAGTAAAGTCTTCTACTACTCAGCCTGGACTATTTCTTTTTCTCAACTGTCGAGGGATGTTGTTGATAGTGTGTTTTTTTTTTCCCCAAAGGCCATACTGGATGAAAATAAAGACAGCGCAACCACACACACGGCTTCTTTTCTGAGTAAAAATAAAAACAAAGGCGGGAAAGAGGGAACAACAGGTTAACGTAATCCAGTTTTCTTCAGGTTGTTTCCAGGATGAGCATCGTGTGAAATCAAAGTTGAGGTTGAGTTTTTCCTTCCATTGTAACGCATCTCAAAAAACAGCTAACGTAACATTAAATCCCGGAATGATCACCTAATGAGGTGAAGCCGACACACGACAGAGAAAATAAACAAATCAGAGAAGCGAAACGATCAGTCGGCGTAGCATCTTCGGCATTTCGACGTAAACCTTTCCATGAAAAAACGTCAGTGAGAATTTAATAAATAGATCATAAATATAAGACACAAACAGGATCAGTTTGGAGTTAAAAGAGAAAATGACAGCAGCTTCCTGTCCGATTATTATTTTTTTTATTATTTGCAGGATAAAACCTTAAACTTTTATGAAAAAAATCAATACCCCTCCAACGCGCGCTGCACACCCCATGCTGCCGCCAACTATTAGTCAATAACAGAAACACCAATTTTGGCACAAATCTACGGGGAGACTACTGTCCATAAAATGATATGTCTACTTGTCTGAATTTGTAAATAAAACTCAATGCTGTGAATAAATTCAAGATTTTTCTTCGTTTCTTGTTATGGACTCATACATACATGAGACATCTGATCATCTGTGAATATAGAATTTATGAATAGAAGTTAGAAAGCTGCAACTTTGCACCAATATGAGTACAAACTTACAAATTTGAATCACAAATTTACGAGTAATTGTACATTTTTGATTCTATTCAATTCAGTTTATTTCTATAGCCCCAATTCAGAACACACGTCATCTAAAGGGACTTTACAATTCACCAGATCATCCATTAAAAGTTTTCTATCTAACGAAAACCAGCTGATTGCATCGACTCATTGACTCAAAGGCAATCCCTCACACTAAGCATGCTTGTAGCGACAGTGGAGAGGAAAAACTCCCTTTTAACAGCAAGAAACCTCCAGCAGAAACAGCATAAATTTACCATTTACGTATATTTACTACTCATAAATCTGTGATTCATAGTTGTAAATTATTTTTTTGTAATTCTTTCAAAGTTTTAACTTTTTATACTTCTAAACTTAAATTCTCACAGGTGAAGATCAGATGCCACATCTATCTTTAGGTTGATATGAGAAACAAACACAAATTATAATTTTTTTTACATTGACTTTCACTTAAAAATTCAGACAAGAACGCATATGTTTTTTTTTTGACAGTAATCTTACCCCATACAGGATTGACCTACAAACAATGTTGGTGAAAACAAAGCAGTCGATTAATCCAAATAAGGCTAAATTAAAAGCATCTCGGTTCGTTCTGAAGGGGTGATCACATGCTACAATGCTTCTCCTGTTACCTCACATCTAGGAGGGGGTGGAGGGGGATGTACACTGACATTAAACACAAAGGTAAAACTGGGTGTTTTCACCAAAAGCTGAAATTTCAGTCCTAATCTTTAATCACCAAAAAAACTCATCCCGCCCTCCGTGCTTTATTCCAATCTATTTGATTTAGCATTTTCAAAAACCACCTCCCTCACAATAAAAACTTCCCAAACCCCTTCCTCGTCTCTGTTGTTCACAAATTCCCTTTTTTTTTATGTTTCACTTGAAAAACCATTTTTTTAACAGCTGCTCTGTAAACTTCATAACTTCAGCCTGTGAAATGTGCACCCATTATATAGAAATAAACTCTTCTAATAATTTAACAAGTTAGAAAGTGAACTATTCAGTTTCAAAACTGATGTTACATAACTTAGACGCACAAAAAAATGTTTTTTTTTTGTTTTTTTTTCTTTTGATATCGAGGGAACAGAGGTTATAGCCACTGATTAGCTTGCCTGCTTTGCACTGAGAACACAACGGCGTTGCAAAAGTGAGCGATATCGGTTGAGAGAAGAGCCCGTTTATATGCCTGTGCGGATCACATCACGTTTTTTTTTTTTTTGCCAGAAAGGAGCGACATCGCTTTAAGTCACGCAGGTAAAAAGACAAGAGTATGAATGACTTGGAGTGAAAGCAGCGTTGACAGGATCGGCGGCGCATGGAACGCTCCAGCCTTTAAACCGCAGTGTCGATTCGGTCTATGCGCTAAACCACTGTGTAAAAGATGCATGCATGTCAACTGGAGGTGTGGTCAACGAGAACGACAAAAAAAGGACTGAAATGGTATGAAAATCAGCGACTGAAGCCGGGCATACGCTGTGCGATATTTTTAATCGTTGCATGCAGCTGCAGCTCAAACTGTACGACGAAACCGCAGGGTTTAAAAGTTTGCAGCTCACTGTTCGACGCGACGCTCTGATGCGATCTATCTACTTACAGTGTACGTCCAAAAAATCACACGTCGGACTCAGCGGCGAGAGATTGCGCTGGTCGGACTTGTCAATCTGGAAGAAGAAGAAATCCTTGTTTGCACATGCGAAGTGCTCGATGTTCTGGTAATTCGTTTCGTAGCTCTGCTTCAACAGTAGCATTTGCGCACAAACGTCTTACGACGGCCGACTGAATTTCAAACATGTTTGATTTTCTCCCGACCTTACGATTCCTGATCGGGAGGCGGTCGTGAGAGGCTGATCGCCCATCATTAGCCCCTTTATACTACGGCGCACGATGAGGCTGAAAGTCGGCCCGATCGAAAAATTCTAGCACAACTGGAGAATCGGCCCGAAACGGGTAAAAAAAATCGTACAGCGTACGCCCGGCTTAACGTCAAAGCTAAAGTTATGGTTCTACTGTTTATACACATCTGAAAGAAATACCTAATCAACCCTGCTTTTCGGTGACAGAGGAAAGGAAGTGTTTGAAAAAGCATGTGTGTGTTTGTTTGTGAGCATTTTACGAATTTTATTCCGAGTGGAAAGAAGGGGGGGAGACCAAAAAAAGAAATGGAGGCAGACGTCTGAAGAGAAGGAAAACTCGCTTATTCCATTGCTATCAAACCATCCTTTGAAATCCTGAGAGAGGGACTGACCGTCTCTCTGACCCATTTTTTCACCCGCCTTCGCTTCTTTTTCTGCTCCCACCCTCTTCCGAGAGGCCCCCGAACCGCCCTCACTGCTCGTCCTCCCCGAAGACGTCGTTTTGTTTGCGCTTCATGTTCTCAAAGTCAAAGTCAGTCCCAGTCATGCGTTTGTAGATGTCCTTGATGTCGTTGCAGGTGGTCTCGAAGTGAGTTGTGGCATCATAGGACCTCGAGGCAAAGACCTGGAAGACAAAGTACGGAGAGTCTAAGTGTAGCTTTTCTGCTTGTCATTCCAATCATTTTACAGCAACTCATTAAAAAACCAGCAGACCAGGAAGGAATGCCTCCAAGACCATCAATGTTAATACAGGGGTTCCACAGGGGTGTGTGCTTAGCCCACTGCTGATTCACAAAAGCATGCACACCCACAGCAACAATGACATCATCAAGTGTGCTGTGGTATGAAGTGAATTTGTTCCATTATTTCCACAAGCTAAGAACACATTTTGCAAATAGAAATGAAAAAAAAAATGAAATCCCAAACCGAAACTTTGAAAAACATTTTAATAAGTAGCGATTTTGCTGTTTTCTCAGATTTTGTAAAAAGATATTTACTCTCCATATTTTGCTAATTTTAAATTTGCTCATTTTTGAAATGTTATTGCAGATTTTACGTTTAAAATTTTTGTTTTTTATTTTATTTTTTTTACTGATTTTAGATTTTTTTTTAATTTCAAAATTCTCTTGTTCAGATGGAGGATTCATAAATGCATTGTGTTCTAATAGCCTTTTACAAATTATATTCTTCTTATGCGAACGAGCTTTTCACTGAAATGAGAAGTAAAGACGCATTGCAAATGGGCTGCATGGACATTATAAACAATATTTTTTTATTCAATAGCGAGTGTTTGTATTGGGATTGAAGAGTTCAATTCATAAAACTTGTGGAATATGGGAAAAATAAAATTTTAAATTTGAAAAATACATTTGAAATAGCGAAATCTAAGAATATAGCCAAAGTAAACTCAAATGTTTTTTAATTAAAACGTTTTTCAAAGTTTCGTTTCAGTTTTGTGTGTTCTTTTCTTGCAACAATAATGGTACAGATTTTACTCCATACTTTGGTGCCCTTATCACAATGATGAAGCCAGCTGCAGGTGCGAGATGAGCCATTCAGATCAGAGGGTAAGTAGAACAATCTCCTTCTCGATGTGGGAAAGACTAAAGAGATTGTTGTCGACTTAAAGGGAAATATTATAAAGCATCCTCCATTGAACACTGTTTTTTAACACAACACAAATTACATTTTTTTAAACGATTGCTTAAATCTTATCTAACGGGAATTAATGAAAGAAAGTGGAGTGAATGTTTAGCCAACATTCATATCCATAATACATGGAGATAACAAGTGAGAAAGAGTATCAACTTATAACCAAGAATATTTTTCTTCTTTTCTTACAAAAGAAGAAATACATTGATCAAATTCTTTCTTTATTTTTATTTTATTCAAATTTCGCTTTAGCGGATCGGGGGAGTTATATCCCCATTGATTGGTTTCAGTTGTTTATCTTTGCTAGATGAAGTTATATTCAGTACTGGTCCAACAGATATCGTTAAGAGGCTGTGCTGTTTTTAATTTGATCTAATTTGGTTAGGAGTGACGTGGGGGGGGGCGTCCACCTGCTGCAGGTTCAGGCTGAAGCTAAACAGCTGTGAACAAAAAGAAGATCCTGCTGTAAAACCTGCTAAACAATGGCTCTGAACTTCACATTTTGAGCTCAATTCTAATGTCAGTCAAGCATAATGTCTATAAATAGGATTAATTGCATTTGTATGGAAAGCCAAAAGTACCACAAATTCATTACGTTAAAAAGGGAAATATTTCCATTTTCTAGATGTGAACATTTTAATGGGATTTCCAATACATTAATCAGATTAATAAAAAATATTGATTTTTAAGCTTATTATTTTTATTATTTGCATTATTAGTAAATTTTTAGGACACATTTTTATTTGATGGCCATATTTCAGAAACAAAGGCATTATAAACTTAGATTAATCTCTAACTTTTCATATCAAAATATTTTTACTTTTCACCATGAGCTTTTAGCACAGGAAGCCAACAAGGTTTTTTTTTTTAAATGTAATCAACATGTAAAATGTATTGAAATATATTCAAGTTAAATATTAAAAATGGATTCACATTTTTATTGGGTTCCCTATTACTACAATGATTGATCAATAAAGGCTGCAATAGGTTAAGGTTATCCTTGGGGAAAAGGCATTAATGAATAATAAATGTCACGGATGGGGGCCCATATCCTACTATTTGTCCCAGCCAAGGCTGTTGGCTGTTCTTTATAAGTAAATATTCTAGAAGAAAATCTGTCAGGTCTACAAGATTGAAAAGATGAAATGAGAAACTTAGACTTGATTTTCCAAACATGTCAACCCACTCTTGATAGCTTCGTACTTATGTGAGGTGATCTAAGGGAAACTGAGGGTGAAAAAAAAGTCTAGGCTTAGACTAATGCTACGTTCAGACCATAAGCAGCAAGAGCAGCAAAAACGCGTGTGCTGCTTCATTTTTTATGCTTGTACGAGTTTAGTTCTGACACACAGCTGCTCTAGCTGCGCTGTAGAAAAAGTGGCTCTGATGCGCGTTGGGCGGAGCTACCCTATCTGTTGGAATAATTATGTATAAGATACTTAATGTTTGTTCTTATGCTGCGTTCACACCGGATGCAGCAGGCGCAGCAGAAGCAGCGAGTTTACATGCAAAGTCAATGGTTGACGCACGTCAAGTCGCAGCAAAAGGTCCCGCAGCTCGTTTTGAGCAGCAGGCGCAGCGCGTCTGAGCAGCTGAAGCAGCGCGTCAGGCGCGTTTAAGCATCTGATGCGCTGCTGCTCGAGATGGAAAATTTTAACTTTTGCTGCTCGACACGCCGCGTCAACCTATCAGAGAAGCTGATCTGGGAGCTGGAAACAGTTTATTGACGCATAAATTAACTTAAAATGCAGAAATCTGCCGGCAGAATATGTTCGCTTTTATTATCCTGCTGTCTGCAGTTTAGATTATTTAGATGAAAAACACCTACCAGCCACCTGCTGTCTCCTGTAGAATGGGATTCCTCTGATTCGGCTCCGACAGAAATAATATTGGAAGGCAGGATTGTAATCTGGATGAATTGACTGCATTGATTAAGTTTTCAGGTGGATTTTCTCACTTTAAAACATATTAAAACTACTTTATTCCCACTGATCACAGCAAATATAGCTGCAAGGCAGAGAAAGGATAGTGAAGCTCCGCCCAACACGCATCAGACCCACTTTTTCACTGCGCAGCCAGAGCAGCATAGCTGCTTCAGCCACGCATCAAACTAAACTGGTACAAGCAGCAAAAATGAAGCAGCAGACGCGATTTTGCTGCGTCCGATGTGAACGTAGCATTATGATGTAGAATATGTGACATATTACTGTTCCAGGGAGGTGTTGCACAAGCAGTATAGGTCAACTATCAGGAAGTATTGCTCAAGCTCAACGAAACCAGGAGGTTCTCGGACCATTTGACCACAAGACATTTAAATGCAAATTGACCTGTTCACTGAGGCTGCAAATTGAATTGTATTTTTTGTTTCCTACTGTATACCTCAGCTTGTGTAACTAGGGACCCCCCTTCTGACTTTAATAAATAGCGAGGAGAAAGCTGAAGACTGGCAGAGTGGGATGGAGATTTGTAAACTCCGCAGTCTCTTCCTACTCTCCTCGCGAGTAAAACTAAATTAATTGTCTCTTTCTTTCCCTATATATATGTATGATGCTTTAGGTGCTTCGACCTGACACTATCCTTTCTTTGCCTGTAACAATAGCTACGTTTACATGGACACAACTAATCAGATTGAAGGCCTGATCAGATCAAAAATGTTTCATGTAAACATGTCAGACTGAAGATTCTAATCCGATTCGGTCCGATCGGATCTAAATTTAATTCCGAAAGAGAGAGGTGGTTTTTGCCGATCGCCATTCTGATTGGCGTCCATGTAAACACCCATTCGGATCTAAAGAGTAAAATAATCTTCACTGCGCATGTGTGCGACGTCAGCGTGACGTTTTTCCGCCCTGTCAACAACAGGAAACCACCGGTCGCTCTCGCTCTTGTTGTGAACAACATGGCGGGAGGAGTCTAGGAACGCCGACTTATACACTCAAGTTCATTTAAAGCTGCAGGAAGCAGGAATTTATCCTCCTCCTCTTCCTCTTCTTCCTCTCCACAGCCCACTCGCTCTCCCACGCCGGTTCAATCGCTCATTCTCTACATTTTCTCTCGGACATTTCGCTGCCAAGTGCTTTTTTCCTCCTCTCTCCTTTTTTCTTTCCGCTCGCTCCGAGCGCATCGTTTGTCAGGCCTCCCAAAAACCAGACGCAGACAGAACTGCCAAGTCCAACGTTGGTACATGTATACACACGTCATGATCGGATCATTTCATTTAGTGTCCATGTAAACTGAGATTTTGAATTTCCGATCAACCAAGGTTTGGGTCGGATTTTTTTGCGCATGTAAACGTAGCTAATGGCAGCTATATTGGCTGTGATAATTGGGCAAAAAGTAGTTTTAATATGTTTTGAAGTGAGAAAGTCCACCTGAAAACTTCATCTGTACTGTCAGTTCATCCAGATTACCATCCTGCCTTCAAATATTATTTCTGTCGGAGCCGCTCAGACCCCTGTACACCAGCGGTGCGCTGTCACTGGGAATCCCCTTTAACTGCAGCCTCTGGCCCGGTCGCCTCTTCGTTTGCTGGAAGGCGGTTTTCATGTACGTAATCCAAACTGCGGGCACCAGGATAATAAAAGCAAACATGTTTTGCTGGCAGATTTCGGCATTTTAAGTGAATTTAGGCGTTGATAAACTGTTTCAGAGGAGTGATCATAGTGCTCTGCTGATGCAGAGCTGTGTCTGTCTCCCTGCCAGCTCCCAGATCAGCTTCTCTGATTGGTTGAAGTGGCGTGTCGAGCAGCAAAAGTTCAATTTTTCCAACTCCAGCAGCAGCTTCTTTCGCAGCGCGTCCCGCACGTCAGGTGCTTCTGAGCATCTGTTTTAGCTGCTCAAAACTCCCTGCAGGACCTTCTGCTGCACCTTGATGCACGTCAACCATTGCCTTCGCATGTAAACTAGCTGCTTCTGCAGCTTCTGCTGCTTTAGGTCTGAACGTAGAATTAGACTCAACTTTATTTATTCCTTGGGGTTAGCACTTCAGGGAAATTCTAGTTCCAGTAGCTTATATAGAGAACAAAGAGTTTAGCAAGACTAAAAAAGTGCGAACAAAGAGTAGAAAAGATCCAGCTTTTCACCAAAATATCTCTAAGGTAGACTAAGTGCTAAATATAGTCTAAGGTGCTTTCATAACTCTTTAATAGGAGAAATCTGATCAAAATGCTCCCAAAATTAATAAAACGTCATCTTGAAATTTCCACAGTAAGAATAAGGCATAATTTGAAAATAACAGCAAAAGAACAAATGATTAATCATCAAAAATTGTCCAACCACTAATAAATCCAGACTTCTGGTCCATTGATGCCACTCAGCACAGCTTTCTTTGCCAAGCCAGAAATCTTTAAAGTTACTGTACATTTTTTTTAGGAGACATGGCCGACTAGATGACTGACTCAATGTGAGGTCCAGTGCAAGGATTGGTGTCCTATTACGGCTGTTTTCAGAAACTTCCCAGGGTCTTAAACTTATTTTGTAAATTCACAAACTTCCAAGAATTTTAACGACCGGTGGGGACTCTGAACCGTGTGAGCGCCATATTGACACCAGGACTGTTTGGAGCTGAATGCAGTTTCTGCAACAGTGTGGTGATGAACAAGCAGTTTTATTAAAATGTGGAAACTCTAGCCCACTGATGAAGTGAAAGTAAAAGTATTTCACTCTATGCAATATCTCAGGGACAGATGTCTGCCAGGCGATGCATCCAGAACCTGGAGGTTTAACATTGCAAAGGAGGACATAACATAGCGACAAAGGGAATAGAGCTGAAATTATTAGTCTGATCAATCAGTTATTAAAAAAATGGCCAAATAATTTGGTAATCAAATCAAATCTTTGTGTAACGTAATGTCAGATCGTAAGAAATGCAATTTTCTGAAAAAAATATGAATTACTACTGTCGGCAGTTATTGAAACATAACTCTAGAATAAAAAATAATTCTTTCCACATTTTCCTAAAATTAAAATCTAAACCAATTAAAGAAAATGTATCAGTATTGCAAAAAAGTTTTGGGGTTTGTTTTGTTACTAAAAATGCAGACAAATGCATTTATGCAATAAAACAAATTAAAAATAGTAGATATTTAACGGCACTTAAACTTAGTTTTGGCTCTAAACTAGTTTTAATTAGAGAGACTGAGGACAAAAAGGATGCTTGATTTTATAGGTTTTGCAGCCATTAATCTAAATCGGGATTTTTCTTTTAATTTCACAACAAAAAGTTGTTCATGAGCTTATTTAATTTCCTTTTGTTTAAAACAAACAAAAGCATTATAGGCACTGTACATATATTAGCAATAAATAAGGATGACCAAAAGAGGGGTATAAGCAGAAAGTTTAGACTGGAAAAAAGCGTCAGAAAACAGGACACAAACCTTTTTCTTATCTTTGTTCATCATCAAGTTATGCCTCTTTAATTTCTTTGTTTTTTTACTTGATGCATGGATTGCAATTCAGTTTGAAATTCACATAAAAAAAAAGAAAAACATTCCCCTTTTTGATGTATTACATTTCTGGGACTTGTGGGTTTCCATACAGGATGCAAACTTAAACTAATTTCTTTAAAAGACACTTTCTGGTAAGGTATTTGCTTTTGCATAAAACATTGTTTGGTTTTTCTACAATAAGCCAAAAACTTGTGTGATAAAGGTAGCCTGCCTTGATAATTAGGCATAATAATCCTTTTTTTGTTATAAAACTATGAAACATGTCACATTTTTAAAAGTGATTCCCTCGCCTCTACGTAGTTAGTCATTTACGGAAGTATCAGGGTGCAGAAAATTGTATATAAAGCATCTGAACTAAGTAAATCTTACCATCAATTAAGTTTTCAGTTATAAATCCCTAAATAGATTTTTTTTCGCTCCCAAAGAAACAAATCTTCTTCAAAATTGTATTGCACATCAGGTGGGCGTGCAGTTAGCATATTAGCCCAACAAAGTATTCAACCTGTTACATTGTGCAACAGGCTGAAGCTGTAAAAGGAGCTGGAATCTGCTTACCTGGCTCTCAGTGCCGTCATCTGTGGGCTCATAAAGGTCACTAATAGCCACAAACCTGAGGGGGGGAAAGGAAATGGCTTATTTTTTAGAAGATTCTCTATAGCTGTTTATTGACAGAATGTAGAAAAACAACGTAATAAAGACACTGACTTTTGATCAATGGGCTCCAGCAGCTCCAAGGCTGGCTCTATCTCAGCCTCTGGTTCACTAGTCTCCACTGTGGTGCTGACGATGGCTATGTACTTCCCTTGGGCCGCCACATTGTGGGCGTAAGAGATCATGCACACGTAGATGTCTGGTCAATATAAAAAAAAGTATTCAAATACCATGCATTAGCAATGTTGGGACCAACAGTTAGTTTTCATTGAGAAGATTACTAATTTTTTGCATTTTGCAACGCAGATACATTACTTGCAAATGAATCTGTCAAGTTGTGAAAGAGAACTGAATTTGGTAAAATGCTAATAAAGAAAAAATATGTTTTATATCAACCATCAGGTCTGTTAAATATGATTCATCTCAGGGGCTGATTTAGGAAATTTGGGGCCCTAGGCAAAGACAGGCAGGGGGCCCTCTGAATTGAGAAGACAACACATTAAACAGACCCGTTACACTGATTTTTTCCAAGCACTAAGCTCACTTAGCTGATTGCTCCTTCCTGTGTTTCCAAAAAGGCCAAAGTAAATAACCCAGTCCTTCTTTTCACTGTAGACAAGCCATGATCTGCTTATCTGTTCTCCATTTTTCATTTGGATGAAATAATAGCTGCATGAATCATGACAGCAGACAAGATAGAGGAGAGCAGGAGGCGGGGTTACCAATCTACTTGCTCTGGAGAGCAGAGTTCGCTGCTTTTAGATGTTGTCTCCAAAGTCTCCAGTAGCAGAAAAAAGTCGCTAGATTTGGCGCTAGGAGCTTTTTTGAAATAAAAGTGCTAGAGGGGTCTGAAAAGTCACTAAATATAGCGACTAAAGCGCTAAGTTCACAACACTGCTTTTCGCATTGTTTGCTTTCATATGATTTGCTTTCTGTTTGGACCTTTCTGAACATGTGCAGCAAATGGACTGATCCAATATGGTGGACACTGAAATGTCCCCACTAACTTTCATCACTAAGTTACACCCTTGCTTAAGACTTGGGGCCCTAAGCAACTTCCTCATATCACCTAATGGTAAATCCCCCCCTGATTAAGCTGATCTAAGATTAGTAAAAGTATGATATACATCTATGCTCTGTTTGTGATGTTTAATCACGAGATAAAAATCCACCAATTTATTTCTGTTGTCTGCGAACAAGCCCTATCATAGCCTGCTGTTAACAGTAAGCAGAAAACGCCCACCTGAGTTACGGTTGACCTGATTCTGAGGGATGATGATCTGACAGGAATTGGCGTCATTGGTGTTCTTGATGGGGTGGCTCAGGATACAGATGACGCGGATCACCTGGCCCGCCTTACGGACGCGATCTGGGATGTAGCTGGGGTCACAGATGAGCTGCTTGCAGCGAGCCACCTGCAGGAGAGGGGAAATCGATCCAGTATGCTGCACATGCTTTGATTTAAGGATCCTTATTACCGTAAACAACAACATATCATGGTGGCCATACCTCGCCTTCTGACTTGACTCCAATCACTTTGCCACCCTCCATTACGATCTCATCCACGGGCTTGTTCAGCATATAGGTTCCCCCGTAGATTGCGCTCAGCCTAAAAGAAAAATAGGTTCATCATCTTCTTTCTGTTTTATCATTCTCCACAGAGATTAACACGTTCATAGGAAACATTCACTGGCAAGCCATGAAAAGGTGTGTAAAAAGCCTGGAAATCAATTAAGAATTTTTGCAGATGCATAACTCCATACAGTATTTACTAATGGTGCATTTATTTAGGAAAATAATCTGTTTAGCACAAACTGACCCCTCAAATTGCTGTTTATGGCCACATACTAAGGGGGCAAACTATTATGTCCTTCCCTGCATTTTCTGTCAAGATGTTGCAGTTTCTTCTGTTGCGCTCTCTTTTCTATCACAGTTTTCTACAGTATTGGTTTCCAAAGCGGCTAAGAAAAAAAAGGAGAAAATAAGAAGAAAATCTGCAGAAAACTGTTGAAAAACGGATGTCTTTCCATTATAAAGCATTATATCTCTTAAAAATATAACCTACCTTGTCTGACAGAATATTAAAATTCCTCTTTCAATTACATAACAATGTTGGGTCGGTCATGATCCTGTCGTTCAAATTAATGAACATTTGTGTGAAGGAACTGGATAGAATCACTAGAATAAACTGATTCGTTACTTTTCAATCAAAATCAGTACAAAATTTTACACTCTGTCGCTCAAACAACAGTTACTGTTACTCCAAGCTAAAGGTTAAAGTTAGACTGGAAAGCTCCAAGCTAAGGGCTAAAGTTAGCCTGGAAAACTTCAAGCTAAAGGCTAAAGTTAGCCTGGAATACTTCAACTAAAGGCTAAAGTTAGCCTGGAATACTTCAAGCTAAAGGCTAAAGTTAGCCTGGAATACTTCAACTGAAGCCTAAAATTAGCCTGGAATACTTCAAGCTAAAGGCTAAAGTTAGTTTGGAATACTTCAACTGAATGCTAAAATTAGCCTGGAATACTTCAAGCTAAAGGCTAAAATTAGCTTGGAATACTTCAAGCTAAAGGCTAAAATTAGCCTGGAATACCTCCAAGCTAATGGCTAAAGTTGGCCTGAAATGCTCCAAGCTAAAGGCTAAAGTTAGCCTGGAATGCTCCAAGCTAAGGGCTAAAGTTAGCCAGGAAAACTTCAAGCTAAAGGCTAAAGTTTGCCTTGAATACTCCTAAACTAAAGGCTAAAGTTAGCCTTTACTTCCTTTTAATTTGGTTTAATTTAGCTTTATTTTAATTTTAACTCATCTAAAGCCTTTTAAATTGTCTTTGTACTGAATTGTGCCAGAAAGATAAACTTGTCGTGCCTTGCCTTGGAAAACCTCCCAGCTAATGGATAAAGTTAGCTTGGAATAGCTCCAAGCTATTAGCTAAAGTCAGCCAAGACTACTTCGAAGCTAATAGCTAAACGTACCCTTAAGGTAAAGGCTAAAGTTAGCCTTTACTTGCTTTTATTCTAGTTTTCTTTCACTTCCACTTTATTTTCAATTTCACTTTCACTTTATTGACTTCAGTTGCTAGAACTTCAAAATAAGGTAAGATGAGAGCCTGGAAAGTTAAAATATTTTTCACCTCTTTGGTAGCCTAGTAAACTAGCCCACCCACCAGCGGCCAAAATAATTTTTTCCTGCGAGTGGTCTATCCTCAGTGCCCCAGGCCCTAGAACTGGCGGGCCAATCACAACGCAGACATGCATGTTTTGAATTTCTGGATGCAAAGTGGGCGGGGTTTTGAGGGCGTAAAGACAAAGCTGCGCAACGCTGGAGAAAGCACAACAAGGAAGATGGCAACAATTGTTGAACAGTTCTCCTTTGTCTCAGCTTTGGAATCAGTTTTGGAAGGATTAGACTGTGGGTTTTCGTTGAAATGTGAGCAGGAAGAGGCTCTACGCTTGTTCATTTTTAAGAAGGACGTATTCGCCGTTTTACCGACAGGCTGTTTGTTTACACTCCCCCACCAGCTTTCTGTCGCGCTTACTACGTCACAGTCAGTTGCGCTCATTGGTCAGAGCGTTGGCCAATAGGCACAGACATGGTTTGAAAGACAACGGGTTGTTCTCATCAACAATCTTCCGATTTCTCATTCATCGGGGCCAGACTAAATTACACCTTAATCTCTGGTTTATCAGGCTACCTGTTTTTGCTTTTAGCGAAAATGAAAGTCTGTTAAAGGCCAATGACAGGCATATTTAATGTCTCTAAAGCCATGAATGTGCCTATCATAAATGTAAAGGATCAGAAAGTGCAGTTAAAGCTCTGTAAATAGCTCACTATGTGACTGAAGCAGCTCATTTAAACTGTAAAACCAAAACTGCAGTTGCATGAAATGAGTGATTCGGTGAACAAATCACATTAATGTACTAATTCTAGTGATACAGTTCACTCAAAAGAACTGCTGTTCCCATCACTATAACATACTACTGTTGGTCTGACTTTTTTTACCTTTAAAGATAATCAAAAAAGCCTAGAGCATATCTAAAAGTAGGCAATAATATTTGTATATTAAGCCTAGATAACAATGGTGTATTAGGGCCAGGCTAGACATTTTTTTTTTTTTTTCGAGAATAAAGTAATAATATTATGAGAATCAAGTCATGAAATTACGAGAATAAAGTCGCAACAATAATAAAGTCATAAAATTACAATAATAAAGTCATAATATTATGAGCATAAAGTCCTAAAATTCCTTAAAAAGCACTTTTTTCCCTAAAATGAGGATTGTAGAGTGCTGGTCAGCCGTCATAGGCTGGTCGAGCTCGAAACTTTGTTTTTGAAACAGGTGGTTTGATGACTTTATTCTCGGAATTTTTTAACTTTATTCTCGTAAACTCTGAATGGGAATGAAATGAAGAAACTATTGTAAAAGCTGTTATTTCAGTTTAAATATATACTTTAATTAATGCCATTATTTATCATCCATCTATAAGGGGAGCCTTATTGTAAAGTGATACCAAGCATTTTTTGCATGTGAAAAGAAATGTCAATAAAAATAAAACCTTGCAAATCCCTGTGGCAGCTCTCCCAGGCCATACAGGGGGTAGAGGTAGGGGCTCTTTCCATAACGTGCCAGTGATTCACTGTACAGCTTGATACGATTGATCGTCTCCAAACACGGAACATCAAGATAGCTGGAAGGGGAGAGTAAAGAGTTAATAAGCCTGGCTGGTCATGTGGTTTCAGAGTACTTACTTCATTTCCCCATCTAGTCTTACTCATCTGTCCTGTAGAGGGCCAGGGCGTGGCCGGTGAAATCAATGACATCTTGGCCAAGGTCAAACTTCTTGTAAACATCCCTCATGGTAGTGGCTTTAGGGTCCACGCCCTCAAAGGTCTTGGGGTCGTTCTCATCGAAATTGGCCACAAAGACCAAAAACTTCCGAAACCTTCTCTTCTCAAACATTCCCATCAGGTCTGGACATTTAAACAAGACGATTTAACTCAAACTGCACAAACAAACGTCTGAACAAAACAGCAAACAAAATACCCAAGTATGGAGTGAACTTTGTTTCATTATTATTGAAAATGGTAATTGTCTCCTTTCTATCTCTTCTTTTCTCTTTTTTCTTTCTTTTTTCCTTTTCTTCTTCTGTTTTTCTGCTCTATTTACATTGCAGAGTCCATATAAACTGTAAAACTCCCTGCATAATTATAATAAAGCAATTTATATGCATGAAACAAGTGGAGCAAGATGGCAATTGCCGTACTGCTACACTTGTGAAAGTAAAATCTGTTGGGCTCTTTTTGGCATCAAGACAATTATTCTTGTTGCCACATTGCCAGACAGGACACCGTTAAAAAAAAAAAGAAAAAGAAAATGGTAATTTGAAAAACTGAAATCCAGAAATGAAACTTTCAAATGAAATAGATAAAATAAGAGAAAAAAAAAATGTCTTAATCAAAAAAGGTTTTCGGAGTAATTTTGATGTTTTCTCAGATTCTGTTTTTCTAAATTGCTTAATATGTATTATTTTTTTCTTTTCATGTTTCTTTTTCAAATGTTATGATTTGTATATATATATATATTTTAATTGCTCTGTTTCAGACTGAGTTTTCCAAATTACATACTTTTAAAAGATCAAAAGATCATATTTTCTACTGGAGTAAAGAGTGAAGATGTATTCCTATTGGTCTGCTGGACATTAACAACATTTTATTGGTCAAGAGCAAATGTTTGCATTGGGCCTGAAGTGAAGAGAATGTAAAAAAATAATTTGAAAACGATGAATTTCGTAAAACTCAGTCTGAGAAACAGAAATGTGACAAGATCTTTTTTTTATAAAAAAATTTATATGAAAAAATAAAATTTACAAACATGATATATAAGTAAAAACTGCAAAGTTAATCTCAGAAACTTTTATCTTATTAATAAGTTTCATTTTTATAAATCGATTTTTCCCAATTATTCTTATTTTTAAATCTTATTGCTTCTTTGTAAAAATGATGGAACAAAATTCCCTCCATACAGGTCATATTTGCAGGCGATGTCTTACTGGAAGCGAGCGCCTCGGTCTCAGTTGACGGCACCTTGTAGATCTTCCCTCCTTTGTAAACAAAGCTTCCCTCCACCACTTTAAAGTCCAGGTACCGCGTCACTTCTGTGTAAAGCAGCATCTTCACAAGCTGACCTAAAGTAGAAAATGGCGTCTTTAAATCTGCCCCATAATGGTCTGATTTACCCAACTATATGTGGGAAGCATGAGAAAAGTTTTTTCTGCTATTTATTGCTCTACAACCTACAAAAATGTTAATATCCATTTTATACAACAAATATTTAAAAAAATTGAAAAATCAATACATAGCTGTCATTTTGCACACCTCTGATGTTGCTGCTATTTTCAAATATCCATTACTGTAAAAATGTCCATAGCTGTATGGTTATTTATTCTCCAGGTTCACAGTTTTATATTGTTAAAACATTTTACAGTACAGCATTTTATTTGTTTATTTTTTAGCTCTTCACAATTATGTTATTATTATTTATAAGGTCCACATTGGTGTCACCATTTTATTCTATAGTCTTTTTGCTGCTGTAAACACCAGAATTTTCCCATTGTGGCTGTGGAGTTAGGAAGCGGAGGCATTTCTTGCAAGAAAAAGGTTTAAATTTATTTAACGTCTTCAGACGGAGAGATATGGCTCTGACTGGGCAAAGCTCAGTATGTACATTTATACATTACAAAAATCCCAACACACACACTGCCCCCAAGGGAACTAACCCACCCGCTGCATAAAGAACTTTCTGACATTTGAACATTTGGAGGAAAAACAAATTGAGTTCATCAAGTCTGTTCGCTGTGAGGTTAATATATCTATCACTGCTCCGCATATCCATCTGGAAACCTTCCGTTGAAGTAATTTTGGGAAGGGGCGAAAATACTGGTTAGCTGATTGGCCTACGTTGGTGATAGACGGGCCAAATAAACCAATCAGATCAACGAAGCATATGACGTACTAACAGAGCGACGACGAAGAGGAGCCAATTGATAGATCAAACTCTTGTTGAAACCAGTCGGGAGAAGAGCAAAAACATGTTTTCCTCTGAGAAAAGCCTCCAGAGCAGTGTTTTGCTCTTCTTTCAGCGAAGAAATACTCTGTAATTCCGATAAAACTTGCTCGATAGCCACGTTAACGCTAGTTTCATCGGCTGAAGCCGCCATGTTCTTTAGACTGAACTGTCGCGCTTCTCGTTGTGTCACACCTCAACCCGCCTCAAAGCCAACGCTGATCGGACGTTCGTTTGGTGAACGGCTCCGAATTTTCTTTATCGGAGAGTCTCCAGACTGATCTGCGAGTGAAACCTTGAAAGCTCGCGAGATCAGGATGGTCTCACGAGGCTAGTCTAGGCCTGTCCAATGAGATATAAAAAAAAAAACATATTCTGTGTATTCGCAGAATATTTTTCCCATCTAAAAACTCCCCCATGTAATTTGAGAGCTTCAGATCCCTCAGCGAATTAGTCATGTGACCCTAACATAGCAGGACTCATATATAAACCAATTTTTTTATGTCAACCATCAAAAAAATCTCCACCGTCACTCTTAAATAGTTTTTCTGTTTGTTGTTTTTTATTAAATTTGTTAGAAAAACAACTAAAATCCAAAATTTGATCGCCTGAAAAAGTATAAATTACGACAGGCAAGTGAGTTAACATTCCATCAGTTTGACTTTTAGCAAATCTCTAGCATCATTCTGATTTGTCAAAACTGCCGTTACAGATATCTAGGGCTGCACCTCCCGGTTATTTAAGTAATCAGTTAATTATATTTTTAATTATTCAACTAATAAAAGAAAGATACTTTTAGCACAGAAAGAAAAACCTTTATTACATATTTTTAAATTAATTGCATATAGATAGATAGATAGATAGATAGATAGATAGATAGATAGATAGATAGATAGATAGATAGATAGATAGATAGATAGATAGATAGATAGATAGATAGATAGATAGATAGATAGATAGATAGATAGATAGATGGATCTATTTATTTATTTATTTATTTATTTTCTTTTGGTGTTCAAAGTTAAAGGAATATAAAATCCTACATCTAACCTGATACTGACCATTAGCCATGAGAAACTTGGGGATGAGATCAACGTTCCAGTCCCTTCCTCTGCCCATGGACTCCGGTGGGCTATCAGGTAGACTAAAGCGCTTGTACAGCTGCAGAACACAAAGGATGAAGAGTGAGATTAAAGATAGCCAGTCACAGCTGCTAAAAACACAATACACAAAATGAAATGTTATACAATGAAGAATATAACTTTTTTTCTGTATATACTGATTTGCTATCCGTCGTACCTCTTCCAGGGGTGTAATGGAAGAGCTCTCCCCACCGTAGTAGGGGTTCCTGTCCATATGCAGAACCTTTTTCCCATTCACGGACATGATCCCAGACAGAATGCACTCCTGCATGAAGCACAACCAACAACCAGCATCAGTAAAAGACACTCAGACATGATATAATTGGAAATAAACCAGTGTCCACCATATTAGATCAGTCCATCTGCTGCACATGTTCAGAAAGGTCCAAACAGAAAGCAGCAAACCATTTGAAAACAAACGATGCAAAGAGCAGTGTTGCCAAATTAGCGCTTTAGTCGCTATATTTAGCCACTTTTCAGACCCCTCTAGCACTTTGATTTCTAAAAAGCTCCTAGCGCCAAATCTAGCGACTTTTTTCTGCTACTGGAGACTTTGGAGACAACATCTAAAAGCAGCGAACTCTGCTCTCCAGAGCAAGTAGATTGGTAACCCCGCCTCCTGCTCTCCTCTATCTTGTCTGCTGTCATGATTCATGCAGCTATTATTTCATCCAAATGAAAAATGGAGAACAGATAAGCAGATCATGGCTTGTCTACAGTGAAAAGAAGGACTGGGTTATTTACTTTGGCCTTTTTGGAAACACAGGAAGGAGCAATCCGCTAAGTGAGCTTAGTGCTTGGAAAAAATCTTTCATTCCTTTAGAGACAGCATGAAAAGTCAGCTGAGTACTAAACATAGAAGAAGAGAGGGATAACACCTAGAACAGATAATGGATGTCTATTCTATTAACATTTCTCTATCTGTATAATTAGTCTGTTTTATGTGTTGTAATGTCTTCTCAATTCAGAGGGCCCCCTGCCTGTCTTTGCCCAGGGCCCCAAATTCCCTAATCCTCCCCTGTCTGCACCATCTCTATAATACATAATACAAGTTCTTCACTCTTCCCACAAACTTCTTTCTTGTTGCATCTTTTTAAATATAATTTAAAAATATAGTTAATATTAAAAAGGAAATAAAGAGTAAACATATTCAACAACAAAAAATCTGCCTTTATAAGCCACGACAGTATTTCAAAATCCAGAGGTGAACAGTAACTAGGAGTGCACTGAGTGCACTCGCCCGGCCGATCAATCTGTCTCAATTTCCTCAATTCTGGAAGGAAGGTGAACTTCACTTAGATGTGAAATTGATCTTATCCACCTCTGAAAGGTTCTGAAAATACCCAACTGTCAATATTCTAAACGTTGGTTTTTATTTTAGAGAAGTTATTTCAGGAGTTTTCTTTATTGTTTCACTGGGATTTTTTTTTAAACTGGGATTTCAGTAAGTTAAGATTGAAATATGGAAGGTGTTTTATGATCTTATAATAACTGAGAGTGTGATTTACATGAGAAAGAAATGGCTATACATAAAATCAAAATCGGTATGTATTTAAATTAGCATTCAGCCAGAAACCAACCAGTGCGCCCATAGTAGCAACCAGTTACATTTACTAAATTACATGAGTAATTTCTAAAAGTAAAGGACTTTTAGGAGTAGGTGTATGGAGTGTATTTTGCTCCATTATTGTTGCAAGCAAAAAAAATAAAAAAAATTGGGTTTTGCAAATAGAAATTAAAAACAAAATGGAATCCAGATCTAAAACTTAACAACTTAATCAAAAGAGTAAATGTTTTTAGAGGAACTTGAAACTTGAACTTGAGAGAGGATTTGCCATCAAACTTCAGGCCAGAGAAAAAACACGTAATATGTAGCCAACATTTGGAAGAAGAATGTTTTCAAGATGACTTGGATAATAGCGCGTTGTGACAAACACCAGATACAGCACTGGGACTTGATCAACAGCCGATACCGCACCGTGACGTCACAAACCAGTAGGTGGCAGTAGTGTTCTTTGACAAACATGGATGCCTCCAGTAAAGCACATTCAAATGAAAATTATTCTTAATTAAAAACACTGATCATTTATTGAACAGTATGGAATAATGTCATATTGAATTCTGAATGTGACCGGACTTTTCCTTTAACGTCGTAGGAAGCGGCTGTTCCAATGGTTGCATTTCTGGATTCTCCAGAGTGGTGCCCGACTTTACACAAGTGAATAAAGTGAATGTGATTGGTCGATTAACAAGGGGGTGGGATTGTTGTGACGGAAGGTTTTCAAGCAGTTTGGTTGTGGCCGGTTTGTTGGAAGCATCTTGCTAACCAGTTAGCAAATTAGTGCTAGCAGGTTCCCAATGGGAAATTCCATTGGGACCAAGTAGCACTAAATTGGTGACTTAGAAACGACGCTGTCAAGGAACGCTATGGACAGCGGAAACATGCAAGAGGAGGAGAGTTTAGTGTCGGAGGTCGTGGATGAGTCTCCTCCGTCATCCATTTTTTATTTAGAGGAGGAAAGCGGGGACGAAGATGTTGTGAAAGAGGACGCCAGGGCGGCAGAAGCTTGGTTTGGTGTAGAAGGCTTCCAGCCGTACAGGTTTGAGCCCTTGCCTCGCAACGCTGCCAGTTCTGTTAGCTCTACGCCTGCCGAAGACACAGACGTCCATCCCCGTGAACACTGGGACGCAACTCAATGGGAAAGGAAAGGATTCTGATTTCAACCGTTGCGTATATTAGCTGCGACACATGAATCAAGATGCTATGACCGAAAATATTTGATTGGCAGATGACCGTTGATATATGATTGGCCGAATTTAGGTGTTCAGGCTGACGTAGAACTAACCGGCCTGCAGAAGATAACGGAAAAAAAACACAGATTTTAAGACAGAACTTTTGGGACAATATCTTCTGATAAAGAGCACATTTATATGCATGTTGAAGCCAGAATGATTTGACATTTAAATATGACTTCCCTAAGATTTTAATTTAAAAAATGTATCATTTATTGAACAGTGTGTAAAAATGTAATATTTAAAGTACTTTACATTTTTATTTTTTTTTTATTCTAAGTTTACATTTTTAATATGACCAGACTTTTCCTTTAAAGTTGTGGCCCACAGACTGTTTGAAGCACTGCTTTCACTTTGCATCATCTTGATTCCATTAATTTATGAAGCCGTTGAAGATAAACTTGTTCTGATTGGTTTTTAACTAGTTTCATGCTTTGGTGTGACATGTATGCCGTTTAATCTATGTCTTTTATTTGTCTTCTTTTTTTCTGTTGTTTTATGGTTGTTTTTATGTTGTTTTTTTTTATTTTTAATTAACTGGTGGATTGTATCCTATGGAAGAGGATTAGGGCCACTGGAAAAAAAAAGTTAGCTAATTTTTAAATATTGTTTCAGTTTAATATGGGAAATCTCAGAATTCTGACTTTAATCTCAGAGTTTTGGATCTTAATCTTAAAGGGCACCATGAAGGAAGACATGTGGGTGCGCTTAGCTTCACTAACAAAAATATGAGTTGTTTGGGAGGGCCAGTGACACATTGGTGGAAAATGATGGGATTAGGCGACTTTTTATGTGCCCAAGGGGTGATGCTATTTCATTAATGGAAGAGCAGAAGACTAATTAAACAAGAGAGATAGTTTAGTCTCTAAAACAGACATGGCTACGCTAGATGCTAACATGTTTGTTAGCCTTCTGACTAGGGGTGGGTATTGCCAAAGACGTCACGATTCGATTCGAATCACGATTCACAGGCCATGATGCGATTCTATCACGATGCATCACGATACTTGAATTATTGCGATGCATTGCAATATTTTCTCCTCCATGTTTTGTTTTTGAATGACTCGGCGCAGTACCCCGCGGCCGGAAATGCTTGTGACACAAGGCAGCGTGCGTCAACACATCCGCAGAGACATCTACTGGACTGGAAGTTGTATAACACTTGTTTTTGGCTGATGTTCGCCAACCATTGATGCAATTTT